TATACGGGTGGAAGAGGCTTAAACCTTCTCTCCCATCTGGTTCAACCCCAAACATGATAGGAAGAAAAAACCCCAAAATAAATGGAAATCTCCACCTCTTTTTCCAAACCCTTTAAAGTAGTTTTTTTTGGGGGGGGGTTAATTGTTTTAAAACCCACCAATCTTCAGCTGCATGCTGCTTGCTGATGGTTTCTCCTCCCTCAGACAAATAAACTCTACTCTAAATGATTCTGAGATTTCCCACCCTCCCACCCACCCACATACTCTTTTGACATCGGGGGAGGTTGTGTTCCAAACGAAAAGGTTCCTCCACCATCCCAACCCATCACTGGGGTTCAGGGGGTTCCCCCTTGACGTGGACCCTTTGGTGGGACTTCAGGTGCCTCTCCTGGCGGAAGCTCTTCTCGCACTCGGAGCACTTATAGGGGTTCCCCCGGATGTGGATTTTGAGGTGCGCGTTGAGGTGCGTGCTCTGGTTGAAGCTCTTCCCGCACTGGGCGCATTTATAGGGTTTCTCCTCCGTGTGGGTTCTTTGGTGCCTTTTAAGGTGCGGGCTCTGGTTGAAGCTCTTCCCGCACTCGGCGCATTTATAGGGTTTCTCCTCTGTGTGGGTTCTTTGGTGCCTTTTAAGGTGCGGGCTCTGGTTGAAGCTCTTCCCGCACTCGGCACATTTATAGGGTTTCTCCCCCGTGTGGATCCTTTGGTGCACTTTCAGGATCCGGCTGTCGCTGAAGCTCTTTCCGCACTCGGCGCACTTGTAGGGCTTCTCCTTCGTGTGAGTCCTCTGGTGCACGTTGAGGCTTTTCCGCACGCTGAAGCTCTTCCCACACATCGAGCACTTATAGGGCTTCTCCTTGGTGTGGATCCTTTCGTGGACTTTTAGGCTCCGGCTGTCCCCGAAGCTCTTCCCGCACTCGGAGCACTTGTAGGGCTTCTCTCCTGTGTGGATCCTTTGATGCGATTTGAGGATGATGCTTTGGCTGAAGCACTTCCCGCACTCGGTGCACTTAAAGGGCTTCTCCCCTCGGTGGATCTTTTGATGTATTTTCAGATTCCCACTATTGCTGAAGTTCTTGCCGCACTCGGAGCACCGGTTGGGCTTCTCCCCCGTGTGGATTTTCTGATGCAGTTTCAGGATGATGCTCTGGCTGAAGCTCTTCCCGCACTCGGTGCACTTGTAAGGCCTCTCCCCCGTGTGAACCCTCTGGTGCCGCTTCAGGTGCGTGCTGTGGTTGAAGCTCCTGCCGCATTCTGCACAGGTATAAGGTTTCTCCCCCGTGTGGGTCCTCTGGTGCTTGCTGAGGTTCGAGCTCTGACTGAACATCTTCCCACAGACGGTGCATTTATAGGGCTTCTCCCCAGTATGGATTCTTTGATGCGATTTCAGTTCCGGGCTGCGGCTGAAGCTTTTCCCGCATTCGGGGCACTTATAGGGTTTTTCTCCCGTGTGGATCCTCTGGTGTCTTTTAAGGCTCCTGTGGTCACTGAAACTCTTCCCGCACGCCGAGCAGTCGTGGGACTTTTTCGCCGCGTAGAACCTCAGGGGAGCGTCGGCCTCCGAGACGGGGCCAAAGGGCTTCCTGCAGTCCAGGAACCTGTAGGTTCTTGCGGCTGGGTGGATTCTCTGGTGCTTGGTCAGGTAGACCTGCTGGCTGAAACTCTTCCCGCAATGAGAGCAGATCAAATGGTTCTCCCCGTTGGGCCTTCTGCTCCCTTCGCCGTAGGGCTCCGGCAGTGGGATCTCATGGAAATCAATCCCTTCAAAGACGATTCGTTTTTCCTCCGTTCCCATCCTCGGCCCCTCTTCGGAGCCTTCCAGGTTCTCCCTTTGAAGAACTGGGGAAGAAAAATAAATCAGAAGAGAAGAAATATAAGCCGTGAGGACCAGAGGATAAAAGGTGACTGACGGGCTTAATGAATGAGGGAGAAAAAATAATATGGACTCTTTGAGGTCTACTGAAGAGCCTCTGAGGAAAAGCAGAAGGAACAAGGCGACCCTCCCAGAGTTTCGGACATGTAAGAAGGAGAGATTTGTCCCCCGGAATTACCAACAGAAAGGTTCATGAGGTAACGGAGCGGAGAGGACCTCTCCCACAGACTGGCGAGGGCCCCTCCCTGGCCAAGCAGGAAAACCTCAGGGAATGGGATGGCTGGATTGTGGAACGTTGAGATTTAGGGGCCCATATTCTGCTAGACCAAGATGATCCACCCTCTCGCATTCCCGATCACCATGTGGGGCCGTGAAGACTGGACAGTGAAGAAAACGGACAGGTGGAAACCACCACCACCCCCGATTCATCTGAAATGTGTTGTATCTGAAAAGAGGAGCGCATGGGTCCCAGAGCAAATCAAGCCTGAACTATCTCTGGAGGCAAAAATGTGGCAGCTGAGGCTTTTCTCCTCCAGGAACCTCATGAGGATTCCCTGGAAGAGACAGCAATGGTGGGAACAGGGAAGGGAGCAGAAAGAGAGGAGGAAGACTGAATATGAGACAGACCGACTCCCTCAAGGAAGCCACAGGCTTCAGTTCATACCAGAGCTGAGCACCGTCCTTTTTACCTTCTAGTCTCTCTCTTTCCTCGGAGTCCTCCACGGACGGATCCTCTCCCTCTTCCTGCCAAGAGACGAAATTGGGTCTGGGAACCGGGAGCCCTTTAGAAGAAAAGCGAGAAACAGGGGGGAAAAATGACTTCCGGACCCCGTGAGATATTCAGAAGTCCCCCGTCTCAGAAGCGTTGAGTTCTCTTGTAGACGCCGTCAAGCCATGTGGGGGATGAGGACAGCAGGAGGCCAACCCACCCAGCCATGAGGCCGTGAGCAAGGATAGGCAACGAGGGACAAGACGTGTGTGGGAGGCTGTCACTGCCCCATGGGCCACTTTGCACTTGAAACCTGTGGACCCATGCAATCGTCCTGATGGGGAGCCATCGATGGCTTTCTCTTGAAAATCAGCAGCTTGGATGCAACTGGTAGCTGTGAGTTCCACCGTCTCATTATGCTCAAAGTGAAGAACCTTTTATCTCCCCTAGATTTTCCCATCCTTGCGCTTCCTTCTGATAACTCCTGTCCTGAGAGAGGGAAGCACCGGCTCTCCATGCTGAACTTCCGTCTCCCCCTGGGTTTAACTAATTCTATGAACCAGGAGCAAAGTCAAGGACATGTTGGCCCCACCACCGAGGTACTCAGGGTGGCCCCTCAAAGCTGGTCCATCTTTGGTAGGTGGTTTCACAGGTGGGTTGAGGCAAGCGGCTTGTTTTTTTTAAAAAATAACTGCTTTGTAACCTATTTTTCTTTTGCTAGTGATCTCACAGTAAGCTGCTCCATGTTTTTTTTGAGATCTCACAAAGCTGCAGGTTATTTTTCTGGGTTAGGTAAAGGTAAAGCCGCCTAGAGTGGCCTTATAGACCAGATGGGTGGGGTATAAATCAAATAAATAAATAAATAAAGGTTCCCCTTGACATTTAGTCTAGTCACATCCAACTTGAGGGCGCAGTGTTCATCCCCGTTTTCAACCCATAGAGCCAGCGTTTGTCCGAAGACAGTTTCCGTGGTCACGTGGCCAGTGCGACTAGACACAGAACGCTGTGACCTTCCCACCAAGATGGAATCTATTTATCTACTCGCAATTTTACGTTTTTGAATGGCTAGGTTGGCAGGAGCTGGGACAAGCGACAGGAGCTCACTCCGTCGCATGGATTTGATCTTATGACGGCTCGTCTTCCGACCTTGAAGCACAGAGGCTTCTGCGGTTTAACCCACAACACCACCACGTCCTCTGGGTTACAGTGCTCCAAATAATTGAATAAAACTACTATTATTCCAGAGGACCTTTGGTCTCTGTGACGGTGTGTGAGTTCTGTGACGGTGTGTGAGGCTTTTGATGGATGGATCTGCTTTTAAGGATTATTAACGGGCTTTAAAATATTTTGAATCTGCATTTTTATAATTTAAAAAAAAACAACTTCATTTTAATTCACTGTAAATCACTTTGCAGGAACTCTGCTGGGCAATCAGAGTGAAACGAAAATGCTTTAAACCAATATGGGAAATCTGGCAAAATGCGAGCAGGCAACAGGTTCTGTAAGAAGGATTTGCCCTTCAGATTTCCCCTCAGCAGAACTCTGGGAGTATCCAGTGCACAAACCCGTCCACCAACAGATACTCTCCCTTCACTCGCCTGAAAATAGGCCTAGTCCTCAGATATCCCTTCAAGTCTTCACTGCCACTCCCAGGAAGCCCTGCTGGAGAAAAATGAAGGCCTAGCATGCCACAGAGTTTGACCCAACTCTGGGAAGGCAATGGAAGACAGGAGGGCCTGGAGAGCTCTGGTCCACGGGGTCACAAAGAGTCGGACACGACTAAAGGACTAAACAACAACAAAGCATGGCCATGGAGCTTCTGAGGCCCCTTTTTCCCCAGGTGAGGAAACAGAAGGTGTCTTGTTGATGTGGGTCTGTGTGCTGGAATCCCCAGGATTCTGCTTCGGAGATTCTTGTCTCGAGAGTCTGAAACCCCCCAAAGGGTGCAGCCCTCGCTTTACACAACACTGCTCAATGGATGCGGTTCTCCGTTTGTAGGCTCGGTTTTTTCCTCCAGTGGGAGCGGGAGTGGTCCGATGGTGACTGACCTTGAGTCGGTCCCTCTGCCATGGTCGGATCATCACCTAATAAAATGTAACCTCAACATGGCCCTCCACCCTCACAGGGAGCAGGGACCTATTGTTATGGTCTGCCCTCGAAGGCTACTGGATCCAATTGGATTCCAGGATGCCATGAGAGGTGCTATGGCTGACCTGGCTGGCGCTCCTGTCGAGGTTCTGGCTGACAGCTGGTTCGCCGCTGCGGTCAGGGCTGTAGACATGATCGCACCTAAGCGCCCTCTCCAACGCAGAGCCCGCCCGGCACCCTGGTTTAACCAGGACCTCCGGGCGCTGAAGCGGGTCAGGAGACGGCTAGAGCGCAAATGGAGAAAGGACCCGACGGATTATAATTGGATAGCTGTTAAGGTCGCCACTAACCTTTACCTGGCTAAGGTAAAGGCTGCCAGT